GACAGACAGACAGACAGACAGACAGACAGACAGACAGACAGACAGACAGACACGAGAGCGGTTGCATAAGCCCGCTTTAATGCTTTTTTAAAAGCAGAAGGGCGGGCTAAAAAGAGAGACAAAGAGAGTGAGAGTGCGAGTGAGAGTGAGAGTGAGAGCGAAATAGAGAGAGAGAGAGAGAGATAATTGATAATTGATAATTATTTATTGTAACTTGTACAAGAAGACTAAGGAGTCTTATGGCTGTACATCAGTAGCTGCCAGGTATTGTGGACGTTCAGTTCACTGATTATTAATTACAAATTGGTACATTACGCACCGGAGGAAAAAAAATTAACAAAACTAAAACAAATTAAATTAAAGGTAAATTGTTTACAATGAGGTGTGAATAAAGCTTGTTTTTAAATGATGGGATGGATGTACATGAGGATATTGATGAAGGCAACATGTTCCACAGATTTATAGCAAACACTCCAAAAGCGCCTCTCTTTTTATGGGTTGTATGTGGCAGGGGTCTTAAAAGAAGTTTATTGTTTCTCAGAAAACGACTGTGCACATCACTAGCAAACGTCAACTTAGAAAAGAGGTATGACGGTGTTTTGTACATTATGGTCTTTTTCAGAATACACAGAATAAAGAAATTTCGCCTCTGGATTAAAGGTAACCAATTTAGGTTCCTGATGTGGATGGAAATGTGGTCGAATCTTGACAGGTTTAAAACGAATCTGGCGCAGGCATTTTGAAGACGCTGAAGTTGTTCACAGGATTTTACATGCATGCCGACCGTTACTGTGGCTCCGTAATCTAGGATTGGGAAAATCAAGCTTTCCACGAGCCTCTTTCTGATTGGCGTCGGCACCAAGTCTTTGTTTCTGCGTAGGTTGTGCAAAACTGCAAGGCCTTTATGACACGTTGATGTGGCGTGGCTTTCCCACGAGAGGTCGCTGTCGATGATGACACCCAGGTTGTTGACCGAATCTAAGTACGGCAGCACGACATTTTCGACAGTTACGGAAGGCATTGGAGTTGGCAGCTTTTTTCTTAGTTTCGAGTTCCCGATGATTATGACCTGCGTTTTAAGGCCATTTATGGCAAGGTTGTGCCCTTTAGCGTAGTTGGCAAGCCTCGTTGCCTCGGCATTGACAGTGGCAACAGCATCTTCCATTTCACAAGGTAAAAAGGAATAGTAGTGTTGCAAATCGTCCGCGTAGAGATGAAAGTTAGATTTGTAAAAAACATCACTGATGTCGTTCACATAAAGCGAATACAATAGAGGGCCGAGAACGGACCCTTGCGGAACGCCGAAAAATATTTCGAGCAAATTTGACATTTCATCTCCAGCTGTAACGAATTGGTGCCTCTCGGTTAAATAAGATTTGAACCAGTTTACAGCAGGTTTGGACAGGCCGAGGTGACGCAACTTGGATAGTAGTAATTCATGGTGAACCGACGGAAAGGCGTTGCTAAAATCGTATAGCACAAGTAATGACAGAAGCCGACTCCCCATAGCCTCTCTGATATCTCCGACGACTTTTAACAGCGCCGTAGTTGTACTGTGGCCTGGTTTGAAGCCTGATTGCAAAGGGTGATACAAAGAGTTGGTAGTCATGAACTGAGAGAGTTGAGCATGAACAATTTTCTCGAGTATCTTCCCCAGGATACACAAAATACTTATTGGCCTAAAGTCCTTTGGGATTCGAGCGTTGGCTTTTTTTGGGATAGGCTTGATGTTCGCTGTTTTCCAAAGTTTGGGAAAATAGCCGGTCTGGAGCGACGTGTTAAACAAATGCAAGATGGGGGGTGACAATTCGACGATACAGGTTTTTATCATTTTCAAGGAGATATTATCCACACCCATTGCATTCGATTTTATGGAGTTCACAGCTTTCATCAGGTTTGTGAAGGTCACGTCGGCGAAGTAGAATTTTTCTTCAGTCAGGGGTGGTATAGCTTCGTACTGTACAATGGTGTTTTCAATAGCGCGCAGGTCAGTGCATGATACGGATGCGTAGTGCTTGTTTAGATCCTCAGCTGGGGGGAAGTCGTACGGGAGTGATTTTTTTCCAGTTACATCAAATTTCTTCAAGGCGTTCCACAAATCTTTGGACGAAGTTCCACAATTAAAAATAGAGTAGGCGTACTTTATTTTTGCATCTCTCTTTTCTCGATTTACTTCATTTCTGATTGTTTTATAGGCTGTTATATCGCATGGGCGTTTTGTCCGACGACTGCGTTTGTAGACCCGGTCCCTGTGGTTCATAAGTTGGATAAGATCTGGGGTGACCCAGGGCTTTGGTTGGCGTTTTACGCAGTGTTGCTTCAATGGTGCGTGCTTGTCGTACAGGCCTATAAGGATTTCGTTGAAAATTGACAGCTTGTCGTCGAGAGAGAGAGAGAGAGAGAGAGAGAGAGAGAGAGAGAGAGAGAGA